ACGTATATCAAGGATCAATGGTATTTATGCACCTGTACAGCTTACGCATCCCACTTCAATTTGTTAGGAATATCCTCTTTATCAATCATAATTGTTCATGAACCAGATGCTCTTATACCAAGTAATGAATAAGGACGATTAAATAAACGGATAATTCTTTGGCGGTAACATAACCGGACAACATGGTTTTGGAGGAGTGGCACGTTCATTGGATCGGAGTTCCTGAAGTTACTTTCCCATATAGCAAACCTAAGCTAATAACGATATCTTTAGAACTACGTGCGTGCCTATACTCACGTGATGATGACAATGACCAATCTCTGAAACGACGGTTTCCAAGCAAAATTATTCCACGTTTTTCTAACCGCACAATCAAAAGGTTTTTTACAGATGCTTCTATTCTCAGTCGGTGATAGCCGGTAGCAAGTCAAAAAATATTAAACAAAAAAACACAGGAGATACATTAAGGACTATATGACAGATAAAGTGCTTAGCATTTACCGTCAAGGTTGTTGTAGAACAAGCAAGTCCTTGAGATCACCTTCGCGCGGCACAGATGTGTCTAAACAAACTAATCAATAAAAAAGAGTAAAACACGACTAACGGATTAAATCGCTTGCTTATACCTTAATCACCGAATTTGGCTCAGACGCCACGCTCTCGTTGATGCACAGTTGATCCCGTGACCCCATGATGCAAACCTTTGCTCTGTAAATGTAACGGTACAAAGTTACGCTATACATCAAGAAGTTTAAAGCAATAAGACAAAATAGGAGCAGAACAAAGGTAGAAGGTAATTTGAAAATGTGCCAGAACAACAACTTGAACAAGGTATTTACTTAACTGAATATTACGACCCTCGAGAAAGACTAAATCATAGCACCATTAGGATTGAAATAACACAGGAAGTAAAGACACTGCTCTCAGACAAGCAAATTAAGCGGCATACTAATCTGCTCAGATTGCGGTGTGTTAAATCTGTTCTACAAACCCATAAATTTGAATTGGCAATTAAAAAGATTGCGCCTGAAGTGAATGAGACCAGCACACAGTTTTTGAATATTTTGTCGTCTCAGCTGGAAGTCAAAGATACTTTCAAAAAGATATACTCACTTTTTATAACTTGTCTTGTTCAACTCCTTGATCACCTGAGAAAGCTGTGAGTGTGTTCGAGAACTATAAATAATCTTTGGCATGAATGGGGACTCCTGACATGGACGAGCGGAGGAGATTTGTGAACCCTTGACATTCGTGCTTCCAACAATCGTCTGAAGCGGCGCCACACTCTGTGCTTTCATGCGGAAGTTATCACGCCACGCAAAGCAGGCACAAAGAAGGCACAGCGTCTTTCCGGTTCCGGTCGGCGAGTCGAAAATGCCACAGCGACCCTAAAATATTTGAAGGCTGTTCAGTGACATATTATGGGATTCTTTGGACCTCAAGGGCTTATGCATCTGACCGACGACCATATGGTCTACTTAGCACCCGCCACTCCTCCAC